ATTTATGGAAGAGCTCATTACTGTCCCGTCCGCGCTAGGACGATATAATGCTACTGTAGTATTCCCGACGGCTGTTGTCACTTCGACATTTGAATGATTTTCGGCCGGCGAAGGGGGTATAGGGCATGGATTTTCATGTGACTTACTTGCTCCGGCAGTGGAGCTCTTACAATCATTACCCAGTTGCAATGTACTGCACGAAGGCTTATCGTGTCCTTTTCCATAAACGGATTGGTTAGGGCACTTTCCAGATGAGTTAGCCTTGTGAAGAAGTGGAGTAACAGCATTGCCTTCCAAGAATAACGGCGAGTCCTTGTAATTCCTAACAGATCTTCTGAGGGTCACCCTGGCTTTCCCAACTTTAGTTTTCGATGATTTGGCAGGTTTAGTTACTATAGCAGGTAATGGAACCTGACTTATTTTTAATGCATTAGTGTCGACTGCCACGTTATCCACCGGAAATGATTTGTCTAGTGTTTCCTCTGGAGACATAACTCGCTTCCTCTTCCTGACTGGCTTTGACTTTTCCGCGCTAGTGCCTTTATTAGTAGGATGTTCGTCGCCGATGGATCGGAAATTTGGCGGATTATTTGGTAATTCTATCTTACTGTGCTTAAGAATAGCCATGATGATGTCCGTCAGTAGGCCTTGCTTCTCTTCTAGCGTCTGGACCCGCTTTTCAATTATGTACGTCACTTCTCGAACCGTAGAGGCGTTTGTGCTGTAGGATAAAGATGGCCACACACTGTTTCCCCATCTAGAGTCGTCGTCACAAGATGACTGAGATGGCCGATGACCAGTCTTGCTAAACGGGTTCAGAAACAAAGGGCGGCAACCCAAGCAAACGGTAAGTTGATCTGGTGTTGCACTTAGAATCAATGTTTATCTTATAGGCCAGATACCCAAGCCATCATCGGGGCAGTTAGCCGAACCATCACATGTGGCCTGCTTCGATGGTCGATAATGAAATTCATATAGACCTCTTACTCACCACATTTTTTCACTTGATCAATAAACTTTTACTACTCTTAACGCCTTCAGACTAACAATATGTCATTGATTCACGCATAAATTCGGCGTACAAATTAGGCTTGTTGTAGAGGGTTTTGAGTGATGGGGTGGAATGCATTAGAGGCAACGACGGGTACTTCGTTATGTAAAAGAAGCATGCGTAATGTTCTACACGCTGCTGTCGCCGACTCCCTAGTATCTCGAAGGTTCAATTTCGATATGAAATACATTTGCCTGAGAAAACCGGCATTCAATCTATGCCCCAGTGCCAAAGCCAACATCTACTCGATATCGACTGAGATACTCTTTCTATCAGGACTATGTTGCGAGTGCGCCTATGACAAACAGTTATTGTGAACACCGTCGAGTTCTGAATATTATGCTGCAATGTGGTATACAAATCCTAATATGTACATGCATCGAGCAGGATCAATCAATAACTTCCGTGTTAGTTGAACCCGAATAGCTCTGAGTAAGTTGGCGGACATCCCGACGACGGTCTGTGTTTTCCTCTAAAAGACAGCAATAGCTTCGTAAAAGTCTGTGTAAATCACTTGCCGGTCGACAATTTAGAAACTTTTACAATTTTTGAACTAACCTTCTAAACCTGTCTAAAGACCTTTTTAGGTGTCCGGTAGAGGTGGTCTCCAGGTCAGACAAGGCGGCATTTCCGTTAACATTTCTCATGCTGAACAGTAACGTCGATAACGGATGCCTACTTCTTATGACTTCGTTGACGCTCGACTCAGAGGAGCTATCTTTTGATTTTAGGCTCTTGAGATTTTCGTGCACACTGATTTCATCGTCAAAGACCCGCTTGACGAAGTAGCCAATTATCCTTTCGCTTAGGCATAGCGGATGGATAACCTAATGTAATATGCAATGAATGAGTGGGTTGTTCCGGTGGTTCCTGTAGTACGTATCTGGCAGTTGAACGTCTAGGTGTCGGAAATCCGTCATGGAACGTACGAAAGAATCCACATGACCGGCTAGATCTTGTGCCAGTGGATAACGTAGACCTATAAATTCCGTATTCGCGCAAGAATGCGTCCGTGATATTCCATCAGACAGTCAGTTGTTATGGCGATGGGAACAATGTGTCTGCACGTGATGAACATACTACGCTTGATATCCTGTAACCGTTCGTAAGGTGAGGGCAGTTGGAATTTTACAGAAGGATTAAGAAGTCACATGATATCCCACCGTCCATTCCGGCCGGACCCATGCGAGTTGGCTTTCACGCCACTGCCTAACATTCTCGACGTTCGCGTTAGTTCCCTAAAATTTAAAAAAACACCGATTAGTACAACTTGCCGGCGACGAACTTCCTTCCCCTCCCAATACATTGATCTTCCGATCTAAGGCGGGCCGTTGCTGTTTTATGGAAGTTTACGGGACGGTACATAGCCCATCATGATATGAACGAACGCAGGAACAGCTACAGTGCCTGCAAACTACTCACTATTGCAACTATGCGTTTGTGGGGTTCACGAGCACTGTTCGCAAAAACGGAAGGACAAACACCTGCATTTATTATTTCAAAGACCTATACATATCGGCCGTGGCGTAGGTAATGACACGCGTACCCATTACGCCCGTTGCGTAATCGATGAATCCTCAAGGTATCAAGGCCTGTAATCCGGCAACGGACAGTGTGTGACTTGATAAAAACTGTTTTTTTTATTTCAGCCATAATTTAATGGGATTCCCGTTGAAAGTACGTATGCTTGGTGGGGTTTGTGCATGACTGTTAGTGGTTTCAGGGGTGTAGGGGTGTCAGCGGTGGGTTCACGTAATGGTCGTGGTGGTCGCTCACTTGCTTGCAGGTGAGACTGCGCCTAGCGTCCACTTGCTGGCACTCAACTCTCACCTGTGTCTCCACGTAGCTGGACTCTGCTCAGCGGCCACACCCCGGGCAACCATCTCGACCGGCGGGCTAAACCATTTGAGGGGGCCCTGTGCGCTTTGCCGTGTGCACAGGGTTTGCGGATTCCGCTGGATGGAAGGTCGGATGGAACCTTGAGTTGGCACCTTCGTGACGTGGTTCGTCTCTGCACGCCGCTGGACAGCCGGTGACGGGATGGATCTCCACATCGACATCGCCTTGACGCGCCCACCTACGCCGCCGGAGACTGCGGCTTACGGGGAATTCGAGTCGCTCTCCACTAAAACCCGAAGTCGTGGTCCCATAGTGGAGTTCCGGCCGTGCCACAACGGCACATGGCAGCCCTATTCAGGGATGGCACTGCCATCCCCCATGAGGGGAAGGGCCTAGAAAAGGTGGCCTAAACATTGCTGGGTACAACGCCGTCTCCAGGCTAGCCAGGGCCGCAGACCTCTTATCATGGTTGAAACAATCAAAATCGAAACAAAAGCAATGTCAATAACAACAACAACCATACTCATTCTCCTCATCCTACCTCTTCTTCCTCTTCCTCTGCCTATTATTCTGCCTATTCTTCTCCTTCGTCACTTTCTTCTCCATCCCCTTCCCGTCGCCCCACTTGTTGTCACCAGACTGGCAGGGTGAGCCCGCTCACTCTGGCAGCCTGGAATGTTCGTTCCCTTTTAGACAATCCGAGGAGCAACCGACCGGAGCGGAAGACGGCGCTAGTCGCACGAGAACTGACGCGCTACAAGGTGGACATCGCCGCACTCAGCGAGCCTTGACTCTCCGAACAAGGCCAACTGGAGGAGGTGGGTGCCGGCTACACCTTCTTCTGGAGCGTTCGACCCAAGGCAGAGCGACGGGACGCGGGTGTCGCCTTCGCCGTTCGGAACGACATCGTGGGACGACTGCCCTGTTTGCCGCAGGGCATTGACGATCGCCTGATGAGCCTCCGCCTGCCTCTCTGGGGAGGCAAATTCGCCACCATCATCAGCGCCTACGCTCCGACGATGACCAACCCCGACGCCGTCAGAGACAAATTCTACGAGGACCTGCACGCCCTCTTGGCGACTGTGTCGAAGGGGGACTAGTTGATTGTGCTTGGTGACTTCAACGCCCGCGTCGGCACAAACCATACTGCCTGGAGAGGAGTGCTGGGTCCCCACGGTCTCCGCGGCTCAAACGACAATGGTCTGCTGCTGCTCCGCACCTGCGCAGAACACCGCCTCATCCTGACGAACACCTTCTGTCTGCCGGAGCGAGAGAAGGCCACCTGGAGGCATCCTAGGTCGCGCCAGTGGCACCTGCTGGACTATGTCCTCGTCCGGAGGCGAGATCAGCGGGACGTGCTGGTGACGAAGGCGATCGCGGGTGCTGACGGGTGGACCGACCATCGCCTCGTCATCTCGAAGATGCGTATTCGCCTACAGCCTCGCAGGAGACCACCAGGTAAGCGACCCCCAGGTTAACTGAATGTTGCCTTTTTGTCTTTGCCCGCTCACCATCTTCATTTCAGCAATTAGCTAGCTCAAAGGCTAGACAACCTTCCTATTGCTGCCGCAGACGACGCCGCCGCTGCCGAGAACGCCTTCGTGGAGAACCGCTGGTGTCAACTGCAAGACACGGTCAAGTCGACGGCGCTCGCCGTCCTCGGTCGCGCTCCCCGCAAACACCAGGACTGGTTCGACGACAACGACGCCGCCATCAGAAATCTGCTAGCTGAGAAGAACCGCCTACACAAAGCCTACGTTGATCACCCCACTGATGCCACCAAAGCTGCCTTCTACAGCTGTCGCCGCCAACTTCAGCAACGACTGCGCGAAACGCAGGACGCCTGGACTGCTCGCAAAGTTGAGGAGATCCAAGGGTACGCGGACCGCAACGAATGGAAGAACTTCTTCTCTGCGATCAAAGCTGTCTACGGTCCGCCGACGACGGGCACTTCTCCTCTCCTCAGCGCCGACGGCAACACTGTCCTAAATGAGAAGACGCAAATCCTGCAGCGATGGGCCGAGCATTTCCGAGGCGTCCTCAACCGCCCTTCCGTCATCTCCGACGCCGCCATCGAGCGTTTGCCGCAAGCGAAGACCAACGTGGACCTCGACCTCCCGCCATCTCTCCAGGAAACCATCAGGGCCGTGCAGCAGCTCTCCAGCGGGAAAGCACCCGGATCGGACGCAATCCCTGCTGAGGTCTACAAGCACGGAGGTCCACAGCTCATGGATCACCTGACTGCGCTCTTCCAAAAGATGTGGCGTCAAGGTGAAGTCCCGCAAGATTTCAAAGACGCAACCATCGTGCATCTCTACAAGCGCAAAGGGAATCGCCAAGTCTTCGACAATCGCCGCGGCATCTCCCTGCTGAACACTGCCGGGAAGATCTTCGCCCGCATCCTTCTCAACCGCCTCAATAACCATCGGGAACAGGGCCTTCTGCCGGAAAGCCAATGCGGCTTCCGTCGTCATCGTGGGACCACGGATATGATCTTCGCCGCCCGTCAACTTCAGGAGAAGTGTCAGGAGATGCGGACCCACCTGTACTCTACCTTCGTAGACCTGATGAAAGCCTTCGACACGGTGAATCGTGAAGGACTGTGGAAGATCATGCAGAAATTCGGCTGTCCGGAGCGGTTCAATCAGATGGTGCGTCAGCTGCACGACGGAATGATGGCGCGATTCACGGACAACGGAGCTGTCTCAGAGGCATTCGCAGTGACCAATGGAGTGAAGCAGGGCTGCGTACTGGCGCCTACCCTCTTCAGTCTTATGTTCTCTGTCATGCTGATGGACGCCTACCGCGACGAACGCCCCGGGATCCGCATCGCCTACAGGACGGACGGTCACCTGCTGAATCAACGGCGTATGCACTTCCAATCGCGCGTATCCACAACAACCGTTCACGAACTCCTCTTCGCCGACGACTGCGCCCTAAACACCACCTCAGAGGAGGAGATGCAACGGAGCATGGACCTATTCTCCGCCGCCTGCGAGAACTTTGGGCTGGTCATTAACACGCAGAAGACGATGCTGATGCACCAACCGCCACCCAATTCAGCCATGGCCCCCAACGCGCCGCCGCAAATCAGCGTGAACGGAACCCAACTGCAGGTGGTGGAGAACTTCCCGTACCTGGGCAGTACTCTCTCCTGCAACACCAAGATCGACGACAAAGTCGCCAACAGGATCTCGAAAGCCAGTCAAGCCTTCGGTCGCCTCCAAAGCACAGTTTGGAATCGTCACGGTCTTCAGCTGAGCACGAAGCTGAAGATGTACAAGGCCGTCATCCTGCCGACACTACTGTATCGAGCGGAGACTTAGACGGTGTACGCAAAGCAGGCACGTCGTCTGAACCACTTCCACCTCAGTTGTCTTCGTCACATCCTGAGGCTAAAGTGGCAGGATCGAATCCCCGACACTGATGTGCTGGAACGGACGGGAATCCTCAGCATCTACGCCATACTGAGGCAACTTCAGCTGCGCTGGAGCGGCCACCTGGTGCGCATGGACGACGAACCCAAATGACTCTTCTACGGAGACGTCGCGACGGGTTCTCGCCGTCAAGGAGGCCAGATTCGCCGTTATAAGGATACCCTGAAGTCCTCCCTGAAATGCCTGCAAATCAACCCAACCAACTGGGAGGAGCTCGCACTCGATCGACCGACCTGGAGGAGGACAGTGAAGACAGGCGGTGCGATATACGAAGCCAACCGCATCGCTACAGCCACAGCGAAACGTGAAGCCCGCAAATCACAACTTCGCCCAGTAAACAACGCCGCCTCACAACCGCTTCCAACGTGTCCCCGATGTCAACGGACATTCCGGGCTCGAATCGGACTTGTTGGACATCTTCGGATTAACTGCGCCTCTCGAACGGCACCAACCATCGTCCCCCCACCTGCCTCTTCCTCCTCCTCTCCGCCGCCAACTAACCCCGACAATTCTTCTGACCCACCACTTCCATCACCCTTTTCCTTCTCCTCCTCCTCCTCCTCCTCCCCCTCCTCGCCCACTGCTCCAACGGCGGCCGCCCAGGCGACTGTCCCGCGCACAACAACCGACACTACCACCACCTCCCCCGACTCCAGAGATGAGGATCAGGACTACACCTGCCCTCACTGCGACCGTACCTTCACCTCACACATTGGCCTGGTCGGTCACTTGCGAATCCATCGCACAGAGACTGGCGAACCAGTGCGTGAAGCACAAACCTACACCCACCGCACTCGCCTCCACTGCCCACACTGCCCTCGAACTTTCAGGCATCGCATGGGCCTATTCGGCCACATGCGCATCCACGACGACCTGCGGTAGACAACCGCCGGCCACACCACACATTCACTCACTCACTCCCTACCTCCTCCACCACCACCACCACCATCACCCCACCAGAAATCAACACTCACACACCACATGCACCCAACTGCCACCTCCCACGCGAGTGGGAAGTGTGCATTTTGACTCGGTCCTCATGCGGCTTCGGCTGCACGGGTGACTTGAGTCCGAGACTATCCCGACACGTCAAGCGTCGTGGATAGGAAGGTTGCTGATTGACGCCCATTATCGGTTCACGCAGTTCGTCGCGTTGTGTGTGTTGCGTGGAGTGGCGGACTGGTGGGTTGGGGACGGACTGAAACAGCATCTTCCACGGCACTCTCACGCAAGTGAGAGACACGCCGTTCAACACCCGTTGTGTGAAATCCTGGTGTTGTGTGTATGGGGGGCCAGGTCGTGCTGTGGCGCGCGCAGTCATGGTCATTCGACCATGACAGCCACCGCGCCCATTCCCCACTCCAGTCTGCTGACCGGCTCGGACAGCGGCTAGGGTGTGGGAGTGGGAAGGGAGAGTGAGGTCGACGACTCAGCGCACTTTCTCCTCACTATAATCAATCTGACGCGCTTGAAGCTATCACGGTGCGCTAAAAGCCGTGGCTTGGAAGGTTGCCAACTGACGGGGTACCTTGTACCTCCTCCTTCACTGGAGGCGGTCTGAGAGTCAGGCTGCAATGGCTCCTTTTTAATGTGGCCTTTATGGCACTCCCATCACAGTGTGGGATCCGAGCCAGGCGTTGGCGGCACGCCCAGGTGCGACTTCGGCCGTGCCAGCCTCCAAATCTCTGTTGTGTTGGTTGAAATCCTGGTTATTTGTTGTGTGGGCCAGGGGGTGTGGTGGAACGCCAAGGTGAGGATCCGTCCGAGCCATCCACCTGAGGCCTCCCTCGTCTCCGGTCTTCTTGACTCTGTCTTGACACCGGGCCCAGGCGAGGGAGGAGGAGAGAGTGTAGGTAGATGCTACGCAAGTCTACCGGCACTATAAACCCCTGCGTAAGTCACCGTACTTGCTCTCATTGCTGCTACAACAGTGGGGCACACGGTGGACATCATCGAAACCGATGGTCGAACTGTCAGTGGTGTCACTTTTAGCCTTTTATATCTTTAAGAGGGAAGACTGTTGTGGGTAGTGAAAGCAATCAGTAATGCCACACCGACGATGTCCACTGTGTGCTCCGCAACAGAGTGGGAGGAGGGACGGTGACTCGCGCGGGAATTAGTTTATACTTATAGTAGATTTGCGCAGCACCTACCCCACTCTCTTCCGCTCCGCCACCTGAACCCGTTGTCACGATGAAGCCCAGAAGACAGGCAGCGGAGGCTGCAGGTAGCTGGCTCGGCCGGACCCGCACCTGGGCTTGCCACCACACCCCCTGATCTACAACAAACATTTGTCCGGGATTTTAAACAACAGCAAAAATAAGGGGTGGAAGGATCTCAATGTACGCGGCATGAGCACGCTATCAAGCCCCGAATATTATAATTTGTTATGGGTGCGCATTCCCGATAAAACTTGTCAGACTCTGATCTAGTTCCTGCGCTGATCCAACGCATCTGCCACGTGGCCCGTCTTTGCGGCAGATGCTATGCGATGGCATTCACCTTGATCAAACAGAATGGTCTTCACACGCTATCTTCTTGTCAATGCTAGTAAATGGCTCGGCCGGTGTAGTGTCAACGCGAACGCTTCGTGTGAGCCCACATTCGTTTTACTCACTACTTTCGTATCCACCTAGTATGGTAGTCTTTTGCTCTAAAGTGTACTTTTAGCTGCCGTCGGCAGCCAGTGAATATTACGTGGTTACCCGCTGTGGCTGATTGGCTTCGGTCCCAAAAGTCATACATAAAACTCTTGGTCTAAGCCTAAAGACCTAGAATATACTGATCTACTCCACGTTCGCAGTTAATTTCTGGGGAAATCACAAAGCAACCCCCTCGGACTATTACCGTCTTATGCCCATGTGCCAACTTACTAAAGGGGCCTCGATGTGTTGCATGTGGCTACCTCTACCTTTCTGATGCGTTTATTAATCATGTGGAGAGGTCGTTTTTCGCACCTCCCAGGC